TCTTCCATAACATTTATCCATTTATATGACTCATGACTTGTCAATACTTGATTAAAAGTAATAGGGTCAACAATATGCACAATATTAAAATCACTTTCCGACAAACATGTAATCTAATCACTGGGCAATGTAGACCTTCTTTCCCTTTGCGATCTCCTAATTGGTGGCTCAGTAACTGACTCAATCGTTGTTAGTGGAGGAACTTGAAGTTCCTCTTGGTGCCCAGGTTCTTCATTAATAATTTCAGCTGGTTGAGGTATAACTCTCTCATGTATAATAGGAACAATAACTGGATTTAGTTTAACAAAAAATTCCTTCAACGTAGAACTCCCACTATCACCAAAGTTATTTTCCAGAAATTTAGCCGTGATTGACTCAACAATTCTGGTGCCACGATTTGGGCAATAGAACTTATATCCTTTTGATCTGTTTGGGTACCCAATGAAGTAACCAAGAGTGAATTTTGGATCTAATTTCTTCTCAAATGAATTATAAATTCTCACCTCAACTGGACATTCCCAAACTCTGAAATGAGCCAAACTTGGCTTACGTCCTATCCACAATTCCCTGGAACAGGAGCTTGGACAAAACGTGGGTTGGGCGGCAACAAAACGTCCAGCATGACTTGCAAATTTTACAAGCTCAATTCAACCTCGATTACTCCCCCGAGTTTTTGTTTGTTATGCACATAATCTCAACTTAATCTGGAGTGGCAATACTAATCCAAATTATAAATTAAAGTTGTTAAACTCATTTATCTAATTGTGTCCCCCCAAAGTCTAAACCCAATTTATTCAGAAATCTTCCTACTTCCCAAACCATGGCACATATCAAATCTTTTTCTCCATTTTAAAGCCCTCTTGTTCTTTTCAATGGCTTCCATTTTATCATACCCATCAACCCTGTTCTCATTTTCTCAGGTAAAATCCCATGTCAAGCTCCCGTATCCAAGAAGCCATTTTTCTTCACTCCCCGACAAGCAAAAAATTAACATAAAGGCAGAGTCTTTTCTTATATTTCCATCTTTACCTCGTCCTGGCCTTATCTGCCGTACCTCTTTAATAAGGGCATCATCTAATTCAAATGATATTCTTAAAGCAATTGATAAGAATGAAGAAAAATCTTTTCTGGGTACTAATGGAAAGCCAGTGAAATTCCTTTTCTTGGTGTTGTTATGGGCTTCTGTTTCCCTTAGTCTGTATGCTTTGTCTGGGGATGCTAAAGCTTCTACTGATTCGATTAGAGCTTCGGGCTTTGGGGTGAAGGTTGCTAATGCACTGCGGGCTTCGGGCTGGCCTGATGAGGCTGTTGTTTTTGCCTTGGCTACACTTCCTGTGATTGAGCTTCGTGGGGCTATTCCTGTTGGTTATTGGTTGCAACTCAAGCCTGTAATTTTAACTGTCTTGTCTGTTCTTGGGTTAGTCACATTTCTTCTATGTAACTGAATTATAAAACTTTCAATACTCTATTTAATCTATTTATTAGATTTAATTGTAATTTTAGGTTTCTTGATCAAGGTAGTTTAATATTTTCCCTGATTAGGGCTTTAGGCTATATATTATCAACTCCGTAGTGTACTTTCGGTGATTGAAATTACGATATTGGAGAAAATTTTGATAGTTTATACAATTATATCCAACATTATTAAGCTTTGAACACTAAAGTGAGAGAAGAAAATTGTTGTTCTCCATAGTCAGTGTCTGTTTGATAGAATTTATTTGGAAATAATGAGTCATGGAATAGGTTTTTTTTTTTTTTTTTGGAGAATGTTTAGTTCAAAAGTAAGGAAATTTTATTGGTTTGTGCGAAGAATATTTTATTGTACGAATGTGTGGTGAAGAAATGATATTGTAGCAAACAATTTAATTTTTTAAAGGAGGACAAACATGGCCTGAGTGAAATTGTATTTCACAGTCCTATATATAGATGTGTACAACTGATTCTATGGAAAGAACATATACAAGAATAATGTCTATAACATAGGAACTACCGAATCTGTAAGTTAAATATCTAATTAAAGATGATTCCTGAAATTCTTTCTTGACTGTTTGCATAAAATCAGCCTATATTTTTTCACTCTCCCCCTCATGCTGGCTTGAAAATGTCTTGTATTCCCAGCTTGCCTGTAAGATTATTAAAACTGCCCCTTCTGTAATCTTTTATGAGTACATCTGGCAACTCTCGTGTACGGGCGTAAGACATGCAGATCAATCCTTCTAATTTCTCCTTAAAAAATTGTTGATCAACTTCCACATGTTTGGTCTTATCATGGTTGTGAGCTATGTAGGTCACAACTTTATTATTACAAATAAGATACATAAGCATTGGATTTGAAATTTTGAGATCTTCAAGACGTAATTTGGCGACAAAAGTTCACATATTTCATGAGCAACAACTATTTACTACTCTTCTGCACCACTCCTGCTAATAGAATCTTCTTCTTGCTTCTCCAAGTCACCAAGTAACCTTCAATTAAGGGTAGTAGCCTGAAGTGGATTCTGTATCGATTACCCAATCAGCATGTGTAGGCTTCAATTCCCACTAAAACCATAAGAACTGCCATCTTACCATCTCTCGATCTTTTGCTGAGTAGTATGTTGTGAACCTGACTCTCAGGATATCCGTGACCTTTTATAGCTTTAGTGAATAGATCATTACCATGCTCTACATGATTTTTTCAAACCATAGAGCGATTTCTTCAGTCTTCTAACCTTTACAGCTCCATAAACACATTTAAAACCAGGGGACAAATCCATAAAAATTTCGACCTCTAGATCTCCAGTTAAAAGGGCATTCATTACCTGTAATTCTCATAATGGCCAACTCGAGTTTCCAGCAAGATACGATAAAACTCGTATGGAATTTCTTTTTACTACTGGGGCAAAAGTTTCTTGTTATCAATCTCATATGTTCAGGTAAAGCCTTTAGCTACAAGTCTATCCTTGCATCTCTTGGTGTCACCATTGGCCTTGTATCTAGTGTCACCATCTGCCATGTATTTGACTGTGAACACCCATTCGAGGTTTACGGTCTTCTTCTCACTTGGCAAAATCAACAATGTCCATAGATTTATTATTATCGAGAGCTATCATCTCTTCCATGACTGCTACCTTCCACTTAGCACGATTCAGTGCCTCATGTATAGTTCTAGGAATTGAAACACTTGGGAAATTAGCGAAAGCTCTATATGTTAGAGATAATCTATGGTATAACAAATATTAGCAATAGGATGATATTACAAGAACGTATGCCCTTCCTAAGTGCAATTGGAATGTTAAGGTCATGAAGAAGAGCATCATCATTGCTAGATTCAGAACTTAAAGATGGTTTATAGATAGAAATTCCTGTTTTATGCAAGTTGCCTTTATCCCAATAATTTTCTTGACAAGCTGTAGGTTGACGCTCTTTATTTTGAGTTTTCCTTCTTTGAGAGTAAATGCAAAGCGCAGATTGAGATTCAATCTATAGTGGCTCTCCCCTGAATTGTAGTTTCTAATGTTTGACTCAATAGGCTTTGAAAAGGTAATTAACGTACTTGGAACACTAGGAACAATGGGTAAAGTAGGATTTGGTGAAACTAGGCCATAGCAAAGAGTTCAGTGCTCACAAAGAACTTTCTTGAGATAGGATTATGTCCCCTTAGTTTAGGAGAATACCCAACAAACACGCACCTCTCAGCCCCAGGATCAAGCTTTGAGCGGTCTTATTTATGAGTATGAACAAAAGCAATGCAACCAAACACTTCCTGCTTAATGGTTAGGTTTTCTGGGAAACATAGGAACTACCAAATTTAAAAAAGTTAAATATCTTATTATATATGATTCCTGAAATTCATTCTTGACTGATTGCATAAAATCAGCTCATATTTTTTTCATGAGCTTGTATTCCAGAATCCTTCCTGCTTAATGCAGGTTATACATGGTTTATGATGTATCAAAGTACGTGCAAATCTGAAAATAGTGAATCCAGTTCTTTTGATTTTGAGCCTTTCTTTACTTCATTTTCACATTCTGCACATTTTGCAAGTCGAATAACAGTAACCCCTAATAAATAGCTATTTGAGATATGAATAATGTTCAGACTTGATGCGGCAATGAATTTGCTACATGAAGGGTACAACTAGAGCTAGGATGGCCAAAATAATTTTGGCATGAGTTATAATGTAGATTGAATAACAATGGACAGTATTAAAGATGATAAAGAAACTGTATTATTGAATATTGTATTGCCCATTTCTGGCCAATAATGGTTATCAAACATGCTTTATGATGGTTTAAGACTAGTATGGTTCTCAAAACTTGTTGGTTCTAGTTGAACATGACATTCACTTATAAATTTTTTGGGGATTGAGTCAGGAAAAAAACCAAGCGGTTATGAATAAAACCTCCTATCTGATAAATATTGTGTCAACATAACAGCTCACCCAATGAATTTGCTGCATCTAACCAAATCATTTGTTGTGATCACAGAAACATGGTTCCTGTACCCTTTATTGTACTCTACCTCAAACCATTTGCAACTTTTCTTGCTGCAAAGAATCAGGCAGCTTCTAAATTTCTTGACATGTTATTTGAGAAGGCCAAAGAGAAGGCAGGGCCTGTGGAAGAATTTCAATGGCTTGGTCTGATGCTATTTGTGGCTGTGCCATTCCCTGGAACAGGAGCTTGGACAGGGGCCTTCATTGCCTCTATATTGGACATGCCATTCTGGTCTGCCGTCTCGGCCAATTTCCTTGGTGTTGTATTGGCTGGCCTTCTGGTAAACTTGCTGGTTAACCTTGGACTCAAATATGCCACTGTAGCTGGTATAATTTTATTTATAATCTCCAGTTTCATGTGGAGCATTCTTCGTTATCTTAAAAAATCTTTGAGCTCATCAATTTGATGCAATATTCTGGACATGTAGAATAATTTTATGGACAAACGATATTAGTGTAGCCATAATTTTATAATTCTGTATCTGTTGAAGTATGACAGCTATTTTTGATTAATTTACAATGACTTTATATTGCTACAGTGAACTGATCTATGAACCTACAAAAATGAAACTGCTCACATTCCTTCATTGAATACAGTGTGAGGTGCATGTCCTTTGTCTGTATACCTGGGTTTGCCTCACCATACCTCTTTTCCATGTGCTTTTATGTACCCAAAAATGAATTCGAGTAATTAATACTTTAAGAAATAGAATTTTGAGCGTTGGTTCTTATGCCTATTCCTCCCGAGGGCCGAACGCATTGAGGGAAAAAGGTACTTATTGAGTTCTTGAGCTAGAGAGTTAAAGACTAAGGAAGGTAAAGAGTGAAGTAGTCACTTCTTCAGTTCTATCAATGGCTGTAGTCTTCCCTTAATCAATGACTATTAAAGTCCTGATATGATTTAGTGCCTAACACGAGGCATAAGAAATACAAAACCCTTCCCCCATCCACCAAGGGTGATGGTGGAGCCAATTTTCATTTCTCCACCGCTAGGTATGGATCTGTCATTTGTTTCATTAGCGTCTAGAGTAGGAAAGTTACTTAAGTGGCAGTAAGTATTTAAATAGAACACCCTTTTCTCTAGTGACATCTCAAACTAAAGTATTGCAAAAGTGTAGCTTTCTCCTCATTCTGTGTAGCTTCACCAAAAAGGATTAGTCCCCTAGAAATTAAATCTTTCTATTCCGGTGCCTTAAGGTTCCCATGTCAAATAAAGTGAAAACCCCCATGCATAATATACCCCTACCTCGAACCACTGAATAGTGAAAAACCAACTCCATATCCACTTCTGGCTTGCTGACTTCTGTTCTGTTTTTGCCATATATCGCTCATAATATGTGATGCTTGTTTATTATGAGTACACTATGATTTTTTGTGATGCTTTGACTTCTAACATTCTTGAGGTCCTAAACTATTTAATCATCTAAGTTGAATCTTTGGGGGAAAGTGATAAGATGATCTTTCAGCCATAGTGTAAAACTTCATCAAACTGTGGAATGGTCCTTAAGATGTTAGCACATTACGTACTTGTTAGATTTCCTAATAAGATCAGGAATGAATATGCATTTAACTCTATTATAATTATCGAGTTATAATCTTGGACTTTTTGGATGTAAACAAGAAAACAGAATTTTAACAAAACTTTTGCATTTTCAATGAATTTGTGGTAGTCTACTTTAGAATCTTCAAAGCAAATGATGATTGTTTTCTTCTCAAAAATTATAGGGGTATTGCATGTATTACACTGCAGTGAATTTTGATCAACAGTAGCTTTATTGTGCACGAAGAATAGATCGATGTTCAATTGGAGTTCTTACCATTCCAATATGTTCAATTAAAATAGAACCGTCTGGACTTATTGCACTTCCACCCTTTCATCTCTCTCCTGAAATATTTACACTTCTGGGAAAAGCGGGGGCAGCATGAACCTACCCTATATCAGGTTTGTCTAGAACAACCATCACAGAGCAGGTGTAAGACACACTTACAGTTTTTGATCTGGATTCTTGCTAGTTCCAAGTAGAGGTGTCAATCCGGGTGGTCCGGGCCGGTTACGGGTCGGCCCACAATTTTGGACTATAACCCAGACCCGCCCGCTGACCCATCCGGGT